GTGAGGGTGGCAGAGGAATACCTTGCATACCTACACTACATCACCGCCAAGTGGACAATCTACGCCAGTACTTCCTCCAAAAAGCCACATCCAGCAGAATGCATCAAGCAATAACACAGACGGATAAAAAGTTGACACCACTAAACCTTTCAGAAAAATCTTTCGACCCTGAGGCAAAGATAACCCCAATGCAGGATCTGGTTCGCCAATGGAAAGCCAAACCACTACATGGTCGGTATAGGAGCCGCATAGAAGACAACGCCATTGACACGAAGGCTTCCCAAGGATGGTTGCAGTCAGGTAATCTGTTCCTGGAGACGGAGGGCTTCATAGCCTCCATCCAGGATCAGGTAGTCCCAACAAAGTTGTACCGAAAGCGTATAATGCATGAGAACGTTGACGATATCAGATGCCGCATATGTGGGGAAAAAGATGAGCACATAGATCATATTGTAGCAGGGTGCTCTCCCTTAGCTCCTAAACAATATCTTGAAAGGCACAATGATGTGGCCAAAATACTTTATCAAGCTTTGGCTAAAAAGCATCTAGGAGAAACTGGTACACAGCCCTACTATAAATACACGCCGCCACCTGTGATAGAAACGGAGACCTCTAGGCTGTACTGGAACCGTAAAATCATAACTGACAGGCCCATCCCCAACAATATTCCTGACATAGTGCTCACACTAAAAGAAGAAAGAACGACGTTTATAATAGACATAGCTGTGCCTCTTCCTACTAATATCCAAACCACCCATGCGGAAAAAATCAATAAGTATTTGCCACTCTCCGACGAAATCAAACGCATGTGGGAAATGGGCAATGTGTCTATAATACCAGTTATAATAGGAGCTACTGGAGAGATACCAAGGAAACTACACAAGAGTCTGGAAAAGCTACAGCTCCATCCAAAAATATACTTGCACTGCAAAAAGCTGCACTGCTGGGAACGTGTAGGACAGTACGTAGGGTTTTAGGAGATGAGAACCGGATACGGTGAAAAGACCGCTGCAGATCTATTTCCTTACTTTGGCTAACCGCCTGAGGGAAATATTAATACCTTCGACAGAGGAGGAAAAATTGTATAAAATAATAAGAATAATAATATCATAATAATAATAATAATAATAATATAATAATAATAATATATAATAATATAATAATAATAATAATAATATAATAATCATAATAATAATAATACTAATAATAATAATAATAATATTATATAATATAATATAATAATAATAATAATAATATAAT